TTGAATAATAAAAGAAAATTTATTTTCTTACAGTCGACTAGTTTTTTACAGTCTCAAGTGCAACACTACGTTCTATAAGATTTATTAAAATTTATTCGCTTTAAATTTTAAAAGTATATCACTGCATGGTTCGACAAATCGTCAGATTTCAAAATTTTTGACGAGGAAACTGTTGTTTTCTGTTGTTGCTTATGTTGTTATATATGTAGTTCCTCTCGAACTCAAACACATAAGCGCATCGAGGGGACTTATATATTTAACAATATAAGCGACAATAGAATACAGTACTTTCCTCGTCAAAAATGTTAATACCTGATGTCGACCACTTTGTTCGAAATATGCAGTGATGGAATTTGCAATTTTCAAAGTGTATAAGCTTTAATTAATTTTATAAAACATAGCGTTGCATATGAGACTGTAATAAAACTAATCGACACTAAGTTAAAAGTGCAACAGGATGCTACAATATAATATAATTTATTTTCGTCCCTACCGACATCACAAGAAGGGGCAAATGCACTTTTCTCGGGTACAAGTCTTGTGTTGTCTTCGAAATTTCTACGTACGTATGAGATGTAAACCGAGTGGAAATCTCAAAGTAGGACGATTTTATGAAACTATACAATGTTTTCAATACCACATGTACGCTTTATTTATATTTATTATTTACGCTTGTGAATTCCAACGACTTTTATTAAAGGTCATTTTCTTGGTTAACACTTAAGAATGTTTTAGGCCTTTAAGTAACGAGGGTCACAAAAACAAAACAAAAGTGAATGAAATTCGCACACGGAATTACTCGAAAGAATATCAGATTTCATTAAAAAATTTGTCACTTGATTCCAAAATTAATTTTTGTCCTGAAGTAATATAAAACTTAAAATTTATGAGTATAATACATATGTTGACCCTATAAGTTGTATGCTTTGGTAATACAATATTATAGCTCTTAATAAGCTTTATGAACTAAAACATGTGCACTTACGTATTTAATTAGGCCCATGATTAAAGTACTCCTTAAAATTAGTTAGTCTTAAACAAGGTTATATACAGTAATGTCGCATACAAAATTTCATATATCTGAAGGTATAAACTATGCACTTGGAAGATTCAATTCATGAACTGAAGTGAATGAAAGTCACGCACGGCAATGTTCATGACAGTCTGTCAGTAGAATCAGAAGACACAAGTATAAGTTTAGTCAGGTCTTTAAGTGACACTTAAATACTGAAAATAGCCAGTCCAAATAACTTGTCAAAATTTAGTGTAAATCTGTAACACTTGGTTTGCGGATATACTTTAGGAAAAACAGATGATTTAAGATTTCCCTAAAATGCATATGAGAAAGTCCTCCTGCATTTTCCAGGTAGAGTTCATTATCTACACGTAGACACAAACGTAATTTCTTTATTTCAGGTCTTCCATGCAGTTAGTGCCTATAATTACATGCCTCCTTGCCAGGCCATTTAAAGCGCTAGGAATTTCGCAAGAAGAAATTTTTGTCCACCCCAAATTCAGATATCTGCTCTGTATAGCTTTAAGGACTGTTAAGTTCCATGAAAACGGACGCTTATGTGGTTATTTTTGGGGGCACGCGGTAGTATAATTGCATGAGACACTATGCTACAAACCGGAAGGTCGCGGGTTTGAGTTCCGATGAGGTAGAAATTTCAATTGACCTAATCCTTCCGGCCGCACTATGGCCCTTGGGTCGACTCAGCCTCTAACAGAAATGAGTACCAGGAATCTTCCTGGGGGGTAAAGGGCGACCGGCGCGTAAGACTGACAATTTTATCGCCATCTGTGACTCGATTTTTTACATGATGTGGGACCCTCAACGTGTTACAACCCTATGGGCCTCCATGGCCTGTTACAGGGATAGCCTTATTATGTGGCTATTGGTTGAGCTATACAAAAATTCGCACAGAAGGAAACTTTCATCTCAGGAACTCAATATCTTCATTTTGGTTCGCTACGATACTTATTTTGTGCCTCATCCATTAATCTAATATAATTTTAATCTGTGAACTTTATTGTGACAAAATAAAACAAACAAAACCATCCTGAACATGATTTTCTTGGTTTTCTACAGTCTGTCCGGACAAATGGTAGGAAAGTTCCTCAAATTCTGTCACGACCAATTCCTTTAATTTTTTTCCCAATTAATTATTGGCTGATTTTCCTGTAATTTTGCAAAATATACTCTGAGATACTGAAATTGGTATTAACGTAATCATTTATAAATAAAAGAAAATATTTTGGAATCACGCCAGGGTTGTGGGGGGAATGTATGGATACAGTTAACAGAATGGAACGGGAGTAAATAGAAAATTCATAATAAGCAGCTTCGTAATTTGTTCTCAACAAAAATTACCATCATAATGAAGTCACGGAGGATTAGACTGGCGGCAGACAAGACATTAGTAGAAATATCTCAAGAGAACTGAACTCTTTGGAACATAGTGTATGTAAGAGAATAATAGTGAGGCTTTTCTTAGCGAAGCTGAATATGAAATTGTGGGCCGCATCCGGCGGCTCAAGAGGACGACGAGTGGGGTGTTCTTGTGAACACAGTAGTGAACTTTCTGACTTCCACTAAAATTGGGAAATCTTTGCCCAGAGGGCGTCTAGTGGCATCCCAGGAAGAACCTTGCTGCAAACAACTCTGTCAACAATTTGGCAAAAAGAAAAGTGTGTCTTATGTAACAAGAAGTTCAGGAAAACAATTATTTGACATATTCAATATGGCTGTAAATTAAAACTGATTTTCAGCCAAGGACGTCCACACTATGGCACTGTGTAAGTCTTACAATTTGTTACGTGCAGATAAAGACAATTGACGAGCTTCTAGCGTTAAGTATACGAGGTAACGACTTTCCTCTTTCTACAATAAATTGCATTAATTGGCCCTTCCAAGTTGCTACTAATTTACAAGGAAAAGAAACAGATATGATACTAGTAATGCTCTGATATTGAAGTGAAATTCCCATAAAGAGTGTCCACGGTGTGAACAAAACCCTTAACGCCTGAAAGTCATTTAAGTAATAATTAAAATATGTAACACGTTTAATTTATTCTGAAGACGCAATTAATTCTAAAACCATTGTTTATGGTCAATGTGCAGATCTGTTGCAAATTAAAGGACGCGACAGAGACCATTGCCGCTTCTGCGGTTCGCTATGCAATCCATGTCTTCTGAGACAAACTGTTATCGTTTCGCTTTCAAGTTTGCAACCTCCTATATTTATTTGCATTTTCCATCTACCATATTTCTTCTTTATACAACAGTATTTTCATTACATGTTTCACAGTCTGCATTGAGTCAATATTTTCCGTGGGCTGGCACGTATCATTCCAAGCCGTAGTATCAGAACTTCTGGGTTATATGTGCACACAGAGTGCATTTCTTCGATCACCAATTATGACAACCGTTTTCAAGAATTATTCTGTTGATCGCCACTTCTCAATAGATGGCGCGGAAGAGCCTCCGTTTACAGGGATCGTCACGTGACGATCGTGTCCGTGACGCAATACTGTGTGCTGCCGTCCTTCCTGCCGGGTTGTTGTTGCTCCAGCTGTCTCTTGGTCAACTTGGCCGTGTGCAGGAACTGCCGTGGATGACGCCGGCGGTAAGGCTCCCACACGGCAGGTCACCGTTGTCAGTGCGTCACTATCACGTCTGGAGCAGATTTGGTCGACTCGACGCTGAATGGACGACTGCTGGCTGGGGGCGGGGGGACTGCTACAGGGGGTGGTGGCGGTGGCACCACGTCCCCAGCGACCCTTCGCGGTGACATCTGTTCCATCTCGATGACTGCTTCTGCCCTGAAGCGCTGCAACTCCGGAGAGTGGGGTTGCTGATGATGATGGTGGTGATGGTGGTGAGGGGGTAGGGTGGAACTGCTAGTTTTCCCGTGTTCGTGGTCCTTGTTGTAGCCGAAAGTCGAAAAGGCGCTTGTATTTGAGGAGCTGTGGTGGGGTGGCACGCTCTGCTGGTGAGTTGGTCTGTTACGTGACGTCACAGGTGGCGGCGGCGGGGGCGGCGTGAGACTACGATCAGAGTTCGTGTTCATAAACAGACTCTCCCTGGTCTGGCACTCATTGTCTCTCATCTCGGGTGGCGGGAAGTTCGACATCTCCAGTTCGTCATCCTCCTCTTCGTAAGCCTGCTGTTGGTTCTGCTCGTCCCTCAGGAACACGGCGTCTCCGTTGGCGGGAACAGCCGCCGTGACCCCGCGAGTGTCCGTAGGCTTGCTGGCCCCGAGCAGGATCGGCATCAAGTCGCCGGCTCCCGGCACGTAGCATTCCTCGGGCGCAGTCCCGCGGTGTGAAGACTCGTGCGGGATGTGAGCATCGGAGCGGACCGCTCTCAGCAGATGGGGCGGGGACACGCCCCCGCCTGCGGAACTGCTGTTGCTGCGACTCCGGCCTGCGGACGCCGCCTTCGGAGGATCCAGGCTCCTCGTCTTGCCCACTTGGTCCAGCCGGGACTGGCGGGACTGCCGCATGTGCTCCTGCAACAATTGGTAGTTATTCAGATGGTCACTGGAATCTGTTCATCCCACATATTCCCTTCTATGTCCTGTTCTTCTGGGGGTCAGCTTTCATGTTTCTGAGAAAACATTATCATACTTATTTCACCAGACGTGAGTCATATTAGGCCACATAACGGACGTTATCAAGCTAATATTTTTTTCCGAAGATGTACCATATACCTCATCGTTATGTAATTTTCTCCAGTTTTTTGTTACCTTATAACACTTATATCCGAATAAATTTTAGAACAATTTTCTCAATCATATATCTCCTTCGGAGCGGAAGATCGAGTTTCTGGATAACCATAAATTGTGCGTAGAATGATGGTACTACATATTTTAATTTATAGGGAGGGGGGGAGTAAGAAGATTTTCGAATGAAGAGTGTCATGCCTTCGTTTCATTTCGTTAAGGCATGTGTCACGGAAACACAGCCAGAACCATGTTCTTCATAACGCACTGCTGACATCTGATCTCAGTAACTGAATTCTTCGTAAGAAGAACCTTGAATTACCTTCATTATAGCGGATTACTAGGAAAAAGAATGTCCCAAAATATATATATTATATGTAAATCACTAATTGCTTCCGATACATTTTTCATTTTACGAACAGCGTCTGTAGTTCAACTAACGATTCCAATTACAACACAAAATTCAATTACGGTGGTAATCATGTTTTAATTGAGTTTCCGATTTCCCACATCGGGTTGAACGGTTTCCCACAACCAGACAGATTTAGACAATAGCTTTGATTGAATTAGTATGCAGTGTGACGCCCGTGTAATGTGACTGACAAGCATTCTGGAGATACCATTTTGAATCCTGCTCCAAGACGACTAACCTGTTTCTTTTCCACAAATTTGCTTAATATTTTTTCTACGTATATCAATGCTGAGAATCTTGCTTGAAATAGGGCACAATCACATTAGGCTCAGTCTTTTCCAGTCAACATACGAACCAACGTTTCGTCTCATCTGATTAAATATTTGGAGAAAACATTATTAATATTATTATTGTGACATGTAGGCCATTTCTTGGAAACAACTTAGTACAAAACGCGTTTCCATTCAGGTGGATTCCTAGAGACCGCTTCGGCACAAAACACTTTTCCGTGTAAACGAATATTCAATAGACATTTCCTAGGACACACGCAATCGACAAACTTGCTCATGGATAGCGCGAGACTATATATAAGTGACCGTTCAGATAAGAACACATTCAGAACCGAGTGGAGGAGAGATCAATTACCTCCATCGTACCCCTGTGAGGCGACGAAATGATACTCAGTGTCTGGGGGTATAACCTGGTCACCCTGTTCCTGGGAGATATAAATACGGGAACGTGGCCCTCCAGGTTGGGGGATTCTCGAATCTGAGATAGTAAAATATGGTCATGGGTCCCGCAGGACGGGGGCCAAAGAATGACTGCGCTGGCGAGAGCCAGCAGCAATTGTAAACGACAGACCCGTTTTCTCATCAGAGAGAATATTTCATAACGACTAGAATCTCAAGTGTTCAGTTAAAAAATAAAATTACTGGTCGTTAGTCTCATGGGACTGGTCGCCAAGACGAACTGATTGGCCGTAAACCGCCAGTTGTAAAGTAACCCTGACTCTGACTCTGAATCTGACTCTGACTCTGAACGCATTCATTTGTACATGAGAAGTCATCCGTGACTGACTCGTAAACCGGAACCAAGTCAATGACAGTGGAAGAGAAGACATTCCTAGTCCAGTAAGGAATGGAGTGAGTCTTAGGCAGTCATTGATTGTGAGCTGTTGTAATCGATTTGATTAAGAGAGATTGTAAAATAAGTAGTCAATAAATCCATTCTAAAAACCGTTATTATTGGTCAGGCAGTCATAAACACGTGACATTATTATGATTATCTATTTTTATAGTAAATCATCACTAAACCGGATGAATTGGAAGGCTCATCCAGATTAACCGATAAACCGGATTAATGTAGCAAAATATAGCACTGAAAAAGAGAAAACTTAGAAAAAATTAAATGGAAAATTTAATAAAATAAGTGGTGCTGATGAAAATAAATAAAAAAAGTATCACTGCAGCAATTTTTTTTCCTCTGTCAGAATCTGAAATCTTTCACTTAGCTACAGCCAGCCTTGCACAAAGACCTGAAACTGAAGCCTCAATAATAAGATCACTTAACAATCAAAGTAAGTAAAGTCTGACTTAAGGCAAGTAAGTTCATAAAATTAAGAGCAATTTTAATGATAAAAACTGGACATAGCCGGTCACGATAGCCGAGCGGTCTAAGGCATGTACTGTCTTCGCTTGCTTGGAAACTGGGATCGTGGGTTCGATTCCCACTCAGGGCATGGATGTTTAGTTTGTGTGTGTGTGCGTTTTTCTGTGTTTGTGTACATGTAGAGGCCTTATGACGAGCTGATCACCCGCCCAAGGAGTCATACCGAATGTGTAAGATCTAGAAAACCCGAAGCGAACGGAGAAGTTCATGGAAGTAGGCCTAGGCCCACTGGGGCTGCAGTGCCAAGGAAAAAAAACTGGACATATTCTGTTACTCGAAGTACCGAAAACTTTCTGAACAAATCACTGTTAGAATTTCAGCTGTCTCTTTGGGGATTGTTCTACATATTTCCCCTCTTCATTACTCCAGAAACGGCCCATCAGTTTAATAGAGAAGTGAAATTCCAAAACTACGGCATCGAAGATTCAAGTTAATGCATGTCTTTATTGCACTGCGCGAATTTAGGCTATTGGTTCGAAAGTAATTAGGAGAGACCTTCAAGAAGGCGAGACACATACACATACAGCAATGTATCCTTCTATAAATGAGTCTAAAATTAGCTCCGTCGCGTTTGCACTCAATTGTTAGAAGCCATTATATTCCCATTTTTGATAATGATATAAGTTGCAGTAAAAAGAAGGTGGACTTTGACAAAAGCACGTAACAACTTTATCCCATTAATTAAATAAGAACCTTTGTTTATTTAGAAAATGTCGGAGCGACTAATCGTTTCGATTCTGCAGTAAAATTCTGAGGAAGAACTGATGATAGGAACAATAAGAAAGGGGCGTCTTTGCGTAATGAAGATGAATTGCTTCCCTTTCATTTTTATGTTGCTTCATTTAGTTTTAACGCCTCCTTTGTAGTCTCCTTTATATGCAAGAAGGCAGCGTTTTGTAATCTGTGCGTGGTTACACTGTTTAGCGCTTGTACGTTTTGAACGAAAGAGCTTTGCATACTCTGTTGTTCATTACGTAATAGTTTTATGTTTCATCTTTGCAAGGAGTAGGGAAGGAAAAATAAGGCCAAGGGAGATGAAAGAAATCTTTGTGTAATGAGACACTAATGTGTTTAAAGGTTTTTATTACGAACATAATTATTCGTCTTACTCGATGTCTTATTATTCTCCATGACACGACATTCTACAATAGCTTAATAAAAATTACGACGCCCCTTTGTGTTTTTGTTACCATAATTATGAGAATTAATCCCATTATTCACAGAACGAGGGCTACCTGACCTGTTACTATCATCAATAAACACTAACTTCCATGCTTTATCCCTTTCTAATTGCTGGTATTACCACATGTTTTTTGGGGTCTGTGTAGCGCTCATCAAATAGGTCACAGCTTCTTCCTATTGAAACCTTGCCTAATCGCCATTCGCCTTAATCATTCCTTCTCATTCGGCGCTGTATACCTTCTGCAGTAGAAACAGAATTGTTAAACAGACCCAACACAGGAACAAATCCTTGTAGTATTCTTATATATACAGACATCTAACCCTACCGAAAAATATACCGATATACGTCACCGTTTCACTCTTGAGTTCTTTTAGAGAGCTCTTGGCGTTCCGTACATCAGTGATGGCCGGCCTTTCTAATCTCTGAAAATAGGAGAATAGAGATCTTCAGGAGTAAACCGCTTTTATTGCTGAAAGATTTTCAACGTTTCGGTAAACAGTGCAGTTGCCATCATAGGATTAATGTTTTGGGGGTATCGGTAGCTATTATACAGATCTGGCCGTGGGTATTGAGCGGGAGGTAGAGGTGTGGTTGGATGTCGGAAAGGAACAGTGCGCAATCCAATAGAGAGCGACCAAGCAGTTGAGGAAACAGCGATGAAAATTCTTTCAGCGACCCCGTGTTTGTGACACGAGACGACGGAAGAATTTTCAGTTAGTGCGTGGTAAAGGGAAGACGGGATGGTGATTGGAAAGGCGGTACTTATTCCCGAATACTTAATTTATATATAGAATCCAATTAGCGAAAACCCAAGGACACTAAGCTAGAAGAACCTTAAAATTTAGAGCCAGCATCGTACGAATGAAAAAAAAAATTAATGCGAACTGACATAACAAAATTACGAATGGCTTTGTATTCATACACCAAAGAATTTTCCAAAATACTAATATGGCAGAGTCTCACAAAACCACAAAATGATTATTATGTAACTATCTTACAGAATGACCCATTTCAGTTACTTACACCTTAATATCTCAATTAATGGGACACTTGAAGACGATCTAAACATTTATATTTCTTCGGCGCTGGACAGGAAATCGGTTCATACAGCAGAAATCACTATGTGTTTTACTATTATCGGTCACCAATTATGAAAATTTTATAAATATCCTGACATTTATTCAGGCATCCAGAAATATTCTTGTGGAACCACAGTGACCACTGATGTGTGGTAGCTATCCGTTGTGCGCTTCTTCCCTGTGACAGACATAAGTTTCAGGAACACCCGTCAATTGCTTCAGAAGACATTATAGAAGAATAAACACATGTGTTAATGTCGAAGAACGGTTCCTCACCTCAAGACAATGTCATCGGAAGGAAGTTTAAGGGATATTTCGTACACGCTTTATTTTATACTTTAGATCTGCCGTTATGTGTTACACAATATCTAGTTTATGGGCCCGAATTCTTGTAGAGTGCAAGTTCAAGGGAGGGCAATTTATTGTCAATTGTGGTAAAAATAAT